AACAGAAGATATTATAGAGCTCGGAGAAATCTCATTTTGTACAGAATTGGCTGTTCTATCATTCTAGCCTGTTAAAACAAAAAACAATTCACGCTTTCTGGGTGCTGAAAAACTAGGTTTTTGGTTTTCTGGAGACTCAGCCCTTGGGAATCTTATTATAATTTCTATTTTCTTATATTCTTATTGGAAACCATTTTCTCTACTGGAATCACTATTTGGAGACTTTCTAGCAGTTTAGATAGGGGAAAAAAATTGAAAATAAAGCTTGTTGAATAATTTTGGGACCCACTGTATATAGATTATTTAATTTTTCAATATAATTAACATCTAGATAAGTTAATTCATATGAATAAAGATCATTTGAACGTTTAATTTATTGTTTGTTGAAGACAATGTTGATCTGCATCATAATATCTAATCATCTTCCAAATATTTCATGTTTATCTAATAAACATTTTAATTGATTGACGGAAACGTTTTATTGATAAAAATTTATCTTCAATTTAATAAACAATAAATGAATTATAATTATATAAATCTTCACTATTTATAATTAGACTTTCTTGAATTTGTTCATCAATCCAAATACGTTCTTGACTATATCAACATTTACTTACAAATATAAATTCAAGTTTTTCTTTTTTTCTTTTATTATTTTGTATTTTCCTATTTTTATACAAACAACCTTTTACAAATATTTAATCGTTTCCATTTATCTTTGATAAATACGATCGATTAATCAAAATCTCTTGTTAAAATATGATTATTCAACTGTGTCGATTATATTATTCATTGAAATATTCGATTATTTTATAGAATATATTATAGAGATCAATTTATTTTGTATATATAGATATATATGAATTTATCTTACAGATAAAAATCATCGAACATGACTAATTGTTGTTTTATTCGAGAGAATCTTCATTACCTAAACGAAAATCATCTCTAAATATCTTGAAAATAGTTCGTACTCTTAGTTTGTTGCTGTAAAGATAGAGAATTTCGAGAAGATTTTGTCAAATAAATCAAATTGTTTCCCGTTGGCAAACAAATGAAAAGTCATGTTTCAAATTTTGACTTAAAACTTTTCTATAGATAAATACATATTAATAAGAGGATTGTTATTAGAAATATTTAACATATTTTTATTATGTCCTATCCTAAAATATGAATATTGACTCTTCGGTTTTAAAATGAATATATACCTTGTTATTTTTATTCTAAAATAATCTCATTAGAATAATTATTCATCCGATTTTTATTTGTGATAGTTGTAAGAACATACTCTTCTTAAATATTATTTTATTTAGATAGAATAATTTTTAACGTTTCAACAAATAACTTCTGTTTGATATAAATAAAAAGACTTAGTCAATGTCTATCATATGTAATATGTCGAACAAAAAGAAACAAACATAGATAGATAGATAGATAGATAGTATCATTTTTTCATTCATTCGTTCACTGATAGTCGTCACGTCAGATTTCGGTACCATTTACATTGAAAAAAATAAAACGAATTAAACAACGTGATTGGTGCATTAACATTGAAATCATCTTTTTTCAGATGGCTTATTCTTTAATTCAATCTTAATTCGTTTTATTTTTTTTTCAGTCTGATTGATCCCTTATAAAAAAAAATGCATCATTGTTTCCATTGACGATTGAGGTCATATAGATGATATATAAAAGATCATTTGTTCAAAATTATAAATGAATATATACGAAGACAAAACATAATTATGAAATATTCTTCATTAGTTAAATTAAATGATTTATCTGATGAAATTCTTATCTATATTTTAAAAAAATTGGACAATGATCAAGTACTATATTCTTTAATAGGTGTTAATAAACGGCTCAATACGTTAATACATGATAGAATTTTTACAAATCATTTAAGATTAATGAGATATATCTCCGATGATTCTATCAATTTATTATCTGATACAATACTTGATCGATTTTATTCAGAAATTTTACCTTCGATTCATCATAATATTCAATGGCTTGATGTTGAATCATCATCTATGGAATGTATTCTTCTTTCTAGAAATTATCCTAATTTATACAGACTTGGTTTATATAATCTTGAAATAGAAAGAACAAAACATTTGTTTACTAGTAAGTTATTTTTATTTTATTTTAATTGTCATTTGATTGATGAACAAATGATAGATATAGAATTTAGTAGATCATTGAATATTTTATTGATAATAAATTATAGATTCTGAATAAGAATAAAAACTTTATCACAAATAAGATTACTTAAAAATTAATATAAATATATTTAAGATTTGTTTCAAATAATCTATATAGATAATTTATTTATTTATTTATTTCTAAAGACTTTTATATATTTATGTTTAGATGAAACTATTTTAAATGATTTATTTAAAAATCAAATTTTATCACTTATTATTCATATTAGTAAAAACAAAAAAAATCAAACTTCAACAAAATATGATAATATAACAATCATATTTACAAATATATTTTCTATTTTCACTAATCTACAGGAGTTAAAATTCGATTCAAATTCAATTTATCCTCGATATTTATCATTTGATATTTCACCTCGAATTTTTATTTCTTCAACTCTATTAAAATTACATGTCAATGTAACACATTTCTACGATTTGATTTATTTACTTGATGGACGTTTTAATCAACTTCAACTCCTTCATGTTACCACTTTTTCTATTCAGCGTTCTTCACTTCGAACAATCAATAATATGGTAGATTATTATTCATTAATATCTAATTATATTCTATACGTTCTAGTTTTTGTTTTAGGAAAATTTACCTAATTTAAAATACTTTTTATTATATTGTAAAACAGATACAGTTTATTATGATGAATTAATTCTTCCACTTTTACATCGAATGTTAAATTTAGAAAAACTTCATTTATGTCTTAAAATTTGTGGTAGAAAGACTTTTATTCATGGAAATAATTTGAAAATAAATATTCTAAATCATATGCAAAAATTAAATCAATTTACATTTAACATTCGGTCAACTATTCGTCTTCATAATAAAATTAGTTTATTATTATCAAATGAAGATATTCAAAATACATTCAATGATTTTCAAAATAATAAAATTATTTCTTGTGTTGATTATTTTTCCGAAATGGAACGAGGTCAATGTCATATTTATTCATATCCATATCAATTGATATATTATCATCAAATAACAAATAATTTTTCAGGTGGAATTTTTAAATATGTTCGTGAAATATCATTATTTGATGAACAACCTTTTGAACATGAATTTTTTTTTCAAATTTCTTAATCATTTCCTTTTATGAAAAAATTAACTTTGATTAATGAAAAACCACAAAATGATAAACGACGATATAGAAAATTCGATGATAACAACAATCAATATTTATCAATCATTGAATATTCACATCTTTCTCATCTTAACCTTGATGAAGCTCATGATGATTATATCGAACAATTTCTTCTTCATACAAAAACCTCTTTACCAAATAGTGTTTATCTTTCTGTCGATTATCAAGTACTGAAAAGAGTGACATACAATTTTACAAGAAATACAACACGAATAAATTCTATTAAACTACGTTCTTTAGGTCTAATTGGAATATGTCAAATTCCTAAATATGTTAAAAAATATTTTCCTCATACAAATATATTATGATTGTTATCAATGATTATTTAAATAAAATATGCTTAAATGATGATTTTTTTTTAGTGAATATAAAGTATTGAAATGAAAATAAGAGAATGAAAGAGAATTAAAAAGATGAGTGAACATCATTAAATTTAATGATGAGACAATATTTATTTTTCTTGAATAATAACTGAAAAAAGAAAACTAATGTTTTCAGCTGATGGAAATTTTACTATTTTCTTATTTTATTCTTGTATCGAACGTGCTATTGCTATTGTTCTTCTTGTTTTTCTTTTTCGTTCAGCTCTTTAAAAATACTGTTTAATTTATTTTTGAGCTTTTGAACAAAAACTGTTAACATTTCATATTCGATGTCATCACTATAAAAACAAAAAGGTTTTATCAATGAATAAACAAGGTAAGAAATTTTTAACTTACTCTTTATCATTGATAAAGTTCTTGTATTGAAGCACGAACCATTTATAATCTGGATCATCATTAAACTATATTTAAAAAAAAAAATTAAAAATGAATAGAAATTCAATAATTTACTTGAAATCTAATCTTAAACGTATCATCTTCATAGTAATATTTTGCTTCAACAATATACTTTTCTATCGAATATTTTACGATCACACAACCAAATTGATCCCGATAAAAATTGAATACGATGTTTTCCTATAATATAAAAACCAATAAATATCAATAAAAGGAAATATATATTTGTTACCTTTTCGTCTTATCCGACAACACGAAAATCATAACCAATTAACGTCCAGTGTGACGTCAGTATAAGTTTATCATAATGAGAAAAAATTTTGCCTTTATAGATAAGGCACAAAAGTTTTAAGACGTTAAGATCCATGTTTATCTATAAAGAAAAAGAAGAATTTTTTCAAATGATCTATCATCATATCAGACTGATAAGAAACAAGTTTATTTGATAAACGTAAATTATGATTAGAAAATTCACGTAATAATTTATCAACAAGTATATGAAGATCTTTTATTATTTCAAGTGATAGTTTTTCTTTTGGTGAAAAGTGTTGGATAACACGATCAGTATATTGTCTACTTGAACAAAAAAAAAATTTTTTTTTAATTAAAATATAAACTTGTTGAATCTTTTAAACTAATAAGAGCAGCAATTACATAATCGTTCACATGAACATGTTATATGAGTACAATCAATACTAATAAAACATACATAAATACATCACTAAGAACTGATGGTGATGTTAACGATCTCATTGATGAAACCAGTTGATTAACACCACCTAATTTTGCATTGGATTTTTCTGACAAATTCTTCTAGATTTTATTCCATTGATAAAAAAAATCTGATTTATTTTTATCAGCTGGATTATATAATTCCATAAGAGGTAAATGTCGATGACGTAAATGTACTTCTCATTTATCATTAAAATAATCAGCAACTGTTATTTGTGTTCATTGTCATTTATTAGCAAATTTATGTGTTCATTTGCTGGACGATCAAAGAATTTTAAACGATATCGACGAACTTGATCTGTGTGAGTTGTTACAAACCATAGAGATTAAGATTTTTTTCGAATAAGTAATGAATAATCTTTTGGTGGAATTCCTAGACAAACAAAAGAAAAGGGAAATTTTTAACATAAAGTTTTACAAAAAATTCACCATATTTTCGAATATTGTTATTTAAATAACAAGAGAGAAATTGAACTAAATTAGAATTTTGATAAAAACAACAAAATGTATTATAATATTTAATGTTGGATCGCGTTCGTCAAGTAGAATTGCTTGATAAAATCTTTATGGTAAACTACGTCCATCACCTAAACAAGAAGAAAAAACATTTAATGGATAAAATAAAATAATTTCATTTACTAAGATCATCTAATTATTGTTGTTTTGGATAAGATTATTTTTTAATTGTAATCATATCATATCTTTGTGTTCTTGTTCAATAACTTTTTTTTTTGTTTTTTGTAATATTTGTAAACGTTCATCTTTTTTACATCGACGCCATGAACCATCACCCATTAAAATTTCAGCATCAACATTAAATTAATATAATATTATTTCATTTGATCGGTTTGAAAAATTTAATTTAAAAATCATTTATAGAAAGTTCAATTCGTTGACAAGTTGAAATAAACGAAAAAAAAAGTTTCTTAAATACTAAAAGTAAATAAAAAAGAATTTCTAGTAAAACAGATATATGTTCGTTTGTCTCTCAAATTAAATCAATAGAAATATCTATACGAAATCGTTGTCTGTCTACTAGAATGAACGATTATCTACTTATCTAGTTTATGAGAATATGCAAGACGAACGAGTGGATAAATAGAAAAACGCACATGTATAGAAGAAAAAATAAAGCGAGTTGGTAGCGTTGAAAAGGACTAAGAATCTCTCTCTTTGTTTTGGAATAAATGTTTAAATAGATGAAATCAACGGAGGATCCTATATTGAATAGTGGTAATCTTTGGATATGAGAACAAAAAAAAAACGAAAACAAATGATATTTTATATAAAGTTTTATTCGAATTTTTCAATAATTTAGAATTTCTATTGTCAATGACCAAATAATATAACGATCATTTCCTAAAGAAATTATAGACAATACATTCACAAAATAATCCAAATATCATTATTTTAAATGAGATTATAGAATTTATGTGAAAAAATTTTATACATACTTGAGTTCGACAAGGTCCATAGAAAGTTCACGTTCAGGAGCGAAAAATTCCGATCCGATCCGTTCTATCTTCTATTAACTGACCATAAACAACACACAAATGATTATATTGCAAAGCTAATATTTAAAAAAAAACTATTCATTTAATTGACTGAAATGTTTAAAGTGAAATAAAATAATAAGTTCTGTTGTTTTGTACTCAACAATAATGTCTTTTATACAACAGTTTCATTGAATCTGAAATAGTTATTATTATTGAATAAATACATCGGTTTTTTTATCTACATTAACTTACTCAATAACAATTGTCAATAGTATGAATTAAATTTAGTATTGCGGTTTGAAGATATTAAATGATAATTTTCGATTTTGTCAGATCAACTTTAACAAATAAACATGACTTCCAAATATCGAGGAAGAATATAGAGTCATACTAAATTTCACACAATAATAATAATATGTTTCTTTCTTAGTTAATAATTGAGGATAGATACACGAAAGTTTATCAAGTTCTTAGACATAGCAGATTTAATTTTTTAATGAAGACAGCATAACAAGTTGAATATATATCTCTATTGAGTTGTCCATTCATTTGATATTACTTTTTTAAATGGAAGATTTTCAAATATTCTTCTATGAATCATTAATACTTATTCTTTCTCCTACTTAAATATTCGTTACGTAAGGTGACAACTTCATCTTTGTACTTCAAAAATACGTAAGTACGAAAAACGTACGAAATATACATTCTTGATTTTGCGCTAACTGAAAGAGAACGCAAAAGTAAATGCATATATATTTATCTTTATTTATTACACATGTAAAATGATCTCTTTCCTTTTTACTTAAACTTTATAATAAAATCTCGATGAATGGGAAACTTATTTTTGTTGATTCATTCGTTTGAGTTCATTTGAACGATCAAAAGCAGTTGTATTGAATAAAACTGACCAATCAATCGAGTTCATCTAATTGTTCGATATAATATAGATCAAAGTTTTTTTTCAATAAGGTCATTTTTCACCGTATATCGATTTATTTTGATCAACGACGCAAACAAGATCGTTGAGAACACGCGATGTCCTTGTTGATCCAGCCTTCGGCTGTAAAATCAGCGGAGCTTGAAGAGTAACAAGACCGTATATATCTGATTCTTTATCATAACTAAGGGTACACTCAGATACCCATTGAAAAGTTACTAAGAACACTCCAGATAATCCTCGAAAAGTTGCGAAGGGTACTCCAGATAGCCCTTGAAATACTAAGGGTCCCTCATATAGTTCTTAAGAAATTACAGAGAACATATGTATTAGCATTAAAAATAATGCTAATTTAATGCTAACACCTAAGCATTAATTAATGCTAATTCAAAATAACACCAAAGCATTACTATTAATTTAACGCTAATGCTTTATGCATTAGCATTACTATTAATTAATGTTAATGCGACACCCCTATGCTTGCATTTAAAATCAAGAAATTTTTTATCTTTCACAAGGTGATGTTACTCATCTTTCAATTCAAATTATCGTCATTTTCGAAAAATCGTAACTAATAATTATTTTCTGGTGAATCAAATAAGGCTTTTGTTTGTCATGTATACCAATGTTGCCTTAGCATTCCAGATAAAAATCAACGTTTATTATGTAGATAAGTTCTTATCTATTATTTGCTCCGTTTTTTGTGCCACTTCGAATTATTTATCTTCTACTTAATCATTTTCACAGTTAAACGATTACCTAGAACAGTTAGTTAATATTTGTTGCCTACACCAAAAAATAAATTCATTTTATTAATAGATATAGGATAAGATTCCTAATTTGGCAACAATTACTTTGCAACTATTTCAAATTTTTCATTATTCTTTAAAATCGTTCGATATTTTTACTCGTTCAATCAATCACATTCAAATGACTTATTTAATCTTGAACTGAACAAAAACATAACAGTTACAGTAAATGATGATATAGACAAGAGAAATTTCAAAATGTGGAGAGATAATTGTACATCTATTTTTGGTTCATTATTCACCAACGGAGAAACAATGTGAGAGCATCCAGTGTAGGATATCGCGCTTATTTTATTATTAAAGTTTGATCAGCTGAGACATTCAAAATCAAACTTGAGGTCGTATGACGAGTAGATGCCTAATTTGAGTTCGAATATAAATGAAAATTTCAAAAACACACAATAGCTATAGGCGATAAAAAGGTTTCAAAAAAAATTTATTTCAATTATAAACGTAAAAGTGCATTACCTTGATTCTGGCTTCTGTTTCAAATATCATAAGATTGATCGTAATTAGAGACAAGCATGACTTAGAATTATCACAATAACCATCACTAAGTTTTATCAATAGTTGATTAATTACCAAATTTTCCCTATTTGGAAGTATCTCAATTAAATATAATTTCTAGAAGCCTCTCAAATTAGTTATATGACACAAATCTCCGAAATGTTTTTTTTCTTATCATTAATCCATTTGTGTCTGTTTTCTGACTGACTTTAAATTTAACTAATGACTTACTGATAAAACATACCAATGTTTGACATCATCTATGCAAAATAAGAAAAATCTTTCGATCACAATGAATGATTAATATATATATATAAATCATTGTAAAAAAAAAGAGAAAGATTAACAGGACAATAAATAAACAGCGCACACACAAAAAAATTTTTTTTTTAAATAAAATCTTTAAATGATGAATACGACAATACGTATTATTATTATTATTATTATTCGGAAATAAATGCGAAAACCTCGGATTTAAATCCGAGTGTTATGTGTACTTCAAAAAGTGAAAAGGGATATTCACTTTGTTATTCATTTGCTCAAAAACAGAATCAATCACACTCTCAAGCTTTGAAATTGGTCTTAGCAAGGTCTTGTTGTTTGCTACAATGACATATGTTTGTATACCTTGTTCTAGTCAGTTTCATTTCGGATATTATGAGAAGAAAAATGCATAAGAATAAAAAGAAATATTTACAACTCATTGAATATATTAGTCTCATGTTATTAAAAGAAAAGAGAAGATGAAAATATGAAACTTGAATTTGATCATGCTGGGAAAAGATGTTTGTGTATATCACCTGATGAGATGCAAAGAAGTTGAGGATTTTTTCCATATATTTTAATCATTCATCTTACACAGTATTTTGATTTGTTTGTAATAAAATACAAAATATCCTAATAACAAAGTACAGACCTAAATTGACGCATAGAATAAAAAAAAACGATAATAATTTTTTTTGAGATATGATGAAAAACAATCGAATTAATCCGATTGAGTATTATTGTCATCTGATTCATGATTGACACGTAATAAACATGCATTTTCTTCAATATTTCTCGATTCATTTCCCTTTCATTTAATTTAGATTTTGAATTTGGTAATAAAAGTGAAAACATTAATCCAATTGCAGCAAGAAGAGCACCAAAAAGAGATGATGGACCAGGAATATCCATACTATGGGTTATTTAATTTCAATCTGAATTTAAACAGAAAAAAAAACACTTGATTTCAAATTGAAATAAGGGACTAAGGGACTAAAGGGACTAAGG